ATAATATATTATGCCGAACTGAATAAGCACATCGCTGGGAAGACAGAAGCAAAATAAACTTTTCCGAAAAGAGACAAGAGAAGTTGGCTGGAAATTTTTCTCTGGAAAAAATCAAAGTAATTCAAACCATACCGGCTGAGTTTAATATTTTAATGCAATAATGTAAAGCAAAATAAAACAATAAAATACATATTTTCACATAATGGAAATATGTTAAACTGTATTGTTAAGCGAGTTGTTTGAGTAAGTGTGCCCTGTAGGTAGAGGAGATGGCGATGATCTGAGATGCAAAGCAGCCTGTGAATGGTGTTGAAAGAAGGAAGTGTTAATAGGAGCAACAGAAGCAGGAGCAGGGAATTGATGAGAAGATATGATGGGGCGAAGAGGTAGGTCGGGAATCTGAATAGAGGGTAAAGAGGAGGGTGATGATGAAGTAAAAGAACTCGATTGAATAAGAGCAGAGCGAGTGGGGACATGACGAACAAAGGAGGAAAGGGATAGAGGAGGCGGAGGGTGAGTGGTAAATCGAGGTATAGGATAATTGGGGGAAGAGCGATGCATGAAAATTGGGTCATCTTGGCTCTCTGACGATTTCCGAGAATGATTTTCTCGCATCATCTTTGTCTTAACCGCTTCTTGCGCTAAGATTTTCATACTCATAACTTGAGCATCACTGGTATGCTTAGGCGATTGCATAAAAGATTCTGAATTAGAATCTTGCGTGCATTCAATAACTTCTTTGGTATCGTAATCATGGCGATTTGTCGATCCTTTTGACCTTAGCGATGACGGAATAGGTGTTAAAGCACTCGTCTTTTGAGATGACTTCTTCTTATGTTCTGAATGTCTATTCATTAAAGGTGCTTCTAAGCCACGATCTCCGTGCAGAAGGCTTTCGGCAGATCTGGATGGTGACTTGGTGAGTAAAGCATATTTTATAGACAGTGCACGTGACTCTGGAGGCTTTAAAGCTAAAATTGGAAGTTTAGATTCCATTGGAAAAGCATTTATACCATTACTATTTAATGTAGCGGGAGCGAAAGTCGGCAGACATTCCTGTTTATTGCATCGGATAGAAGTTAATACCTCGTAAAATTGGTCTATTTGTTGTTCGTTTTCAAATACAACTGCAAGGCCCAAACTGTTATAAGATTGGTCATTTATAGGTGGGCCAGCGGATCCTGTTTCCGAAGCAATCAGTGAATGCTTTAAGGATGTAACAATAGAACGTCCAGATGCGCAACCTCCCGGCTCTATATTAGTGTTCTGATATGACTCTTGAAGTAGAGGTTGAAGTGCTTTCGAATTGCTTTCCAGAGTAAAAGTAAGACCTTGAGTGAAAGGCTGATTGAAAGTTTCAAAGTTTTTACTGTTAATATGTTTGGGTTCAAGACCCCAGTAAGGATTGAATGCTTCCAAATGAAGCTGAAAGCGATATTCTAGAGCCCCAGTAACCGAGAAACGAGAGAAAAAAAGAAGATGCATTTCTGGATCCAGAGTTAAAAGGGAACTTTCGAGTGGGGCGTTCAGGGGAAAATATAGTTTAGGTCTTGTAGACACGTTTCCGGACTCAGGGAGTTTGCTTTTAAAATGCTTCTTCCAAAGACCCGTCACCTTACCGGCCATGAAATCTTTAGAGATAATGCTGCACGGTCCATTAACGTAATTGCTAAACTCCCCACGTACAGCTGCATCCAACAGGGAGATATTAACAAGTCCAACTTCCCAACAAGGTAATTCGGCAAAACTGCATCGATTTTTTAAAGCCCTACTTGTATGGATATTATTAGTCACACACGGATTCAAGCGATGAGACAAAGAGGTCTCAACTGGCATTTCAGCATGAGGCTGTGTGTAGCGACGCCAGGGGGGCAGCCAAGCCAAACTATAGTGCACCTCAAGATGGGCTCCCTTTCGTGTCGCGCCATGGAGACTATTCCATGCTTGGACAACAGGAAGCATTGCTGTCTCACCCGGTAGAAGGCGTTCAAGTTGACCATCCGCAAGCACCTCAACCAAAATTAGTTGAGATCGAATTTCTCCTTCACAAGATGTAAATGAGGTAGAGCGTAGAGAGGGTGCTAGCAGAGCCGATGCAGACGCCTTGTAAAATTTTTCCGCCAAACTTGAAACAATGGAACATGCAGTGGTTGTCTGGTGTATAAATGCGCGGTGGCAGAGAGCCTCGCGGTAGCCTTCAGGGACATCATCCTCATCGGAGCCTAGTGTTGAGCGAGAATAAGGCTTGGCTTCTTGAGAGTATGCTATTCTTGTTCCATGTAACTTGGATTGTAAAGGT